TGAATAGATCCAGTCTTTAAGACATGTTTCTATTTACTGTTTAAACGTTAAAATTCCAACCCCTCAAATGCATTACAGGAAACGGTCTAATTAAGTAACATAATCACTATTTACCTTTATACTGTGTCTAAAATGCTCCTCCAGTTGTCCAACCTTGGAATACTGGATCAGCCTCTGTTAGGTCACTTGGAATGGAACCGAAAGTTGTTGATATTAAATCCTGGCTCGTAGCTGGAGAGTTCCTTATAGATTTCGAAATCTCAGGTACTACTTGATGTTCAGTAATCCAAATGTCGGAGTTAATTCTAGTAAAACGTTCTCGTCGGATTTTCGCTATTGTTCGCGTTGCTCAATAGTGGTTTGTTAAATCACTTTGCTTTAATAACTAATGAATTTGAAAAAAAATCCACTTTAGATTTACGAAAACACAAGGTACACATTTTTGCAATGGTTTCGACGGCTGGTCTATTTAACTTACTAGCTCGATTCACGTCCACGTATTGCGCATAATAGTTCTGTGGTCTCGCTTACGAAGTCTACTGCCTAGCACTCTAGCAGCAGCCCGATCATTATTGCCATTCTTCTTCAACCTCACTTTCACAATTTCTACAATCGCACCTTCAAAATGGCGCTAATGGATTCAGCGGCCATCATTTTACTGAATAGCTAATAAAATATGTCCCCTTCGACGACTCCCACGTTTTGAAAGGCCATCCGGCAGCAACCACTAAGATTCAAAAATGCGAACTTTGCGGTCTCATTACTGAATCAGCTGTTTGTTCGCGTAGATACTATTAGTTTCTCGTTATCTCGCGCCAGACGAGCGCCAGCCACTTTTACATGCAATTAATCGGTCACGACTGGATCCAGCAACTGTTGACTTACAAAACATAGAGTGACAAATTCATAGAAAAACCATCATGAGATTCAAAATAAAAAAATTTTGGAATAACCAACGTTTTAATAGAACCGCCCTGTATACTTAATACTTAAAACCGCCCAACCCTAAAGACATTCAATTCTATCCTTCATTTGGGAAACCATCTTTAAAATCATTCTAACTGTAATCTTTTCGCTGAATAGAAGTAGTGAAGCGACTCCTATTAAATTTTGTCTATTATAAGCGTCAGTCAGTTTTACACCCACAACACGATCCAAAGCGGGAAATTTAAAATAGTTCATATATGAACACAAGAAGTCGTGATAAATTTCAGTCTCATTAGTGTCATGTATTTAGCATTGGTTGTTTATCACACCACAGAAACTCATTTAATTTATTATTTACACCAAACATGTGAATCATCATTTAAAGCAAGTACAGGGTGAGTCAACGATTGCGCGGAGTAACTTAATGCCTTGACGATAAGATTTTTTGATAGATTGCTTTTGTATCATGGTTGAATACCACTTCCACTTTTTAAAAATATCTGTAATTATACAAAGTGCGCCCACAAAGTAGGACGCCAAAATGGTACATTTTTTTAAATGGAACCCCTTGTATTTGAATGCATTTTTATTATATGGTTAACATTCGAAAAACTAGTGATTTTATAATATAAAATTATATATTATGTAATTCGATTTGTAAAAAAAATTTGGCATTTGCAATCGTCAGTTTTTTGACAAAATTATTACTTAAATTTTGATACCAGGCTCTATATCTTTTATCCCGGGTAAAGTAAAAGTCAAATAAATACATCTACTACGAAACATTAAAAAAAATAGCTTACAGGGTGCTTTTTTTGTAGGTCCAAAGTTGCAAAACTTCATATTAAATAATCTCATTGTTTTTAAATGGAACACCCTCTATACTTTCCCATCATCTTTGCACTCTTCCAAAAACGTTCAAGTTTTGATAATAATGTCATATAGGTACCTATATCTGATAATTTTTTCAAATTTCTTGGTTTTCCTGGTTTTTATATTCTAGGTATTCTTAAATAAGTTCCCTATATGTAATTTACATAATGACGAGGTGTCCAAGCTAAAAAGGGTAATTTTATCTGCATCGTCTAAAACGAAAATCATTAAATGATTTTTGAATAATTCATTTAAGTCTAAACACTGGAGAACTGCCACAATTTCCATATAGTCTTCTAAAAATGATAAAAGGTTGCTAGGGATCTGTTTTCCCATTATAACTTATAGAACCTTCTCAAGGACCCAGTAGTAACTTTCACGGCTTTCACGGGCACCTTTCGTTGCTACCTTCACAGTTTAGGTTCGTTGTGGTGTTTTTTTTTTGTAACCGATGCAAACTCCGTCACATGGTGCATCCTATACCTCTGCAGTCCCGCAACAAATAAATACAATGGAACTGAAAATATTACAACTTCTACCTACCCCCAAAAAAAGTAGGAATGCAAATTGTAGGTTAGCTAATAAATAGTTGTATGGAACAAATTACACTGGAAATGTGCCACTGAAAAGAAGGGTATGTTTTTGTAAGACTACAATTATTTTCAAGTTTCTGGGTTTGCTGCTAGAGAGCGTACAATTCAAGGTTAAGTAGAAAAATATTTTTTTCCCTAAATTATACCCAACAAACATACATAAAAAAAACATGCATCGCAATCTTGCATGAATTTGCTGTATCATTTTGATACAGCACATATTGCACTAGCTCATAAAATATTAGGGGTGGGGGAAGTGGTAACTTCGGTTTAAGTTAAACGATTTTCTCATAATAGGCCTTGTTGGAAAGAGTTCTCTTCGTGTACTCATATTTTACAGAAATAGTCTTTTAGTACAGCAGGAAACAATAATTATGACTTAACTTCCCCCATCTCTCATATTTTATGAGCTAGGGAAATATGTGCCGCATCAAATTGATTCAAAATTCATGCAAGATTGCGATGCATGCATTTTTTATGCATGTTTGTTGCGGGGAAAAAATCATTAATTTTTCTACTCAATCTTGAATTATACGCCCTCTAGCGGCAAACCTAGAAACTTGAAAAATAATTTCCAGCGATTTCTCTTGGCCTCTTTTGTTAACAAAATCTATTTTGCCAAACTGTGCAGTAGCTATTCCATGGATATGGCCTGTGACATTTATTAATAGCACACGCTGTACATAATAGCCGCTGTTCTCAGGGCAAATTTACCTGCGAACGTGTTCCCTCGAGGGCGAATTTTCTGAGGAAAAACTGTCTGCAATCGAAAGCTTCATTACTACATTATAGTGCATTGTACAACAAACATAAAGTGACTGAAATCCCCGTAAATTTAACGGTAGAGAGAGCTTTATGGGGAAATTCTTTATACGGTGGAGCTTTACTAATTACTGATTGCTTTTATAATTCCGGGGGCGAATTTTCCGGGAGCGAATCTTCCGGGTAGTATATTACAGAGTACAAGTTTTCGGTGGGGAATTTACTTTTTGTGTGTCTTTCAACAGAAAATACCGAAGCTAACTTAGTTTTTGAAAATTAACTGCCACAATCGCAATTAAAGCCCAGTCGTGAATTTCAAAATGTAATTTTGGATTTATCTTGAAACGCCAATTTTAATCTTGCACCATAATTTAGCAGGAAACAAAATTACGAAATCGAACAATTAACATTAAAAATTACCTATCTTTATGCTTACAAAGATCCCTATTCCAATTTTGTATGAATATTTTTAATACACTTTTTCCTGATAAAGATAAAGAAACACTAGCTAAGAAATTATCATATTGGCGCAATAATTATCGATGAACTATTAAACTTTGTGTATCATTATTTATTGCCTATTATGCATAATTTTAAGGTGCGTGTTGTCCGAATTGTATTTTGTTGATAATGGAGTAGTATTTGAAAAATAGCCACAGTGACCATCACTTTCACTTTGGTGTATAAAGTTACTTACAATATTTTTGCATGCGTGTTGGTTTGCAATTTTGATATGAAAAAGTGTGGTGTGCTTGATATTGGTTTAATCGTTTTTTCCCTCTCTAAAAATGTAACCTGTGTTTAATCCAATTAACCGGACTTTTTAAAGAATGCATTTTTTAATATCGATTGATACATGTAAGTTATCTTTAGTCCTAGACGAATTGATTGTATAATTTACTAAACATATTTCTATTACCGCTTAAAAACTAATTGTCGATCGGTATTTGAAATATGTTCTTTACAACACTGTTTGCATTATACTCAAATTGTAAAATACGCGTTGTGCTTTTTGTTTTATTGCATCACACATTTTTTGTCATGGTAAAATTTCCACTAAATACTTTTTCAAGGGTCGTTGCTTAGCTGATATAATGTACTGTCGCATGCTCGCCAGTGGCTTCTCTACTAACTAATGTCCAAGTACACTTCTCTGGTAAGCATTTTTTTAAATATTATATGGTAGCATTAACGCTTGCTTGCATTATAAGGTACATGTGTTAAAAGCTCTAGCACTCTCAATCATTGTTTCGCATCCAGACATATCATTATCAGTCATGTTGTTGTTTTGGAAGTAACGCTAACGTGAGAAATGGTTAAGGGATGACTGTATTACAAACGTTTACAGCAAACTATATCGCTTAACATTTTCGTGAAATTCTTCAGACATCACCCAAGGGCGCCAAACGTAAATACTTTTCCTATGCTTGAATTTCTTGAAAAATACACAATCAGTATTATTCGCTGAATGCGATTTGGCGTCTCCGCGTGCTAGTCCGTGATGGAATTGGATGGACTTTTCACTAAAAATAATATAATTATGGGAAGCTCCGGATTATTTAATCGGGGCTATGAGATTTTCGTTTTGCTGCAAATTTAAGAGAAGCACTGAGCACGTCGGCTGAATATCAACATGAGATGAAGATAAATAATGTGTAAAGAAATGTTCATTGCTTCTGTTTCACTTCATCTTTCTTCTCATAGTACATAGAAATCGAATCGTTAGTTATAGCGACATACTCTTCACCAACTAAGCCTTTTAGTGCATCTTTCTGCTGAAGTTAAAATGAAAACTCATTCTAATAACATAAAGGGACAGATTTTAATATATGATTCACGTTTCAGGGCTCTGCTGATTCAAATTACTCACAGCCCTCTTCGGATCTGTCGCTGGACGAGGAAAAGGAAAATCTTCGTCGGGAAAAGGAACGTCAGGCTCTAAGCCAGCTGGAAAAAGCACGAGTGAGTATTAAAATTGTTTCCAATCATGACTCCTTAAAGAGGTATATTGCGCTTAAATGATATAAATAAAAACTCCTACATCAATAGCGGTAAATTGCCCCTTGACGACATGCCTGGCACTTACACCATGATTAAATTAGCACCACTGAAGTGGCCCTTGTGGCGCAGTTCAGTTGAAACTGGACTGTGGTGCTAAGGGTCACTGGTTCGAATCCTGGTTCGGGCACGGATAGTTGTAAATGTATAGTGGGTTGGGTTGGTAGAGCTTGGCTGAAACCCCGCCCATTTAAAAATAAAGGCAAATAAATAAATTAAACAAATAAAAAATTGGCTACCGAAATATTTGGCCACAAGGAAAATACTCTAGGTGGTTAGAGTTGTTTATTAGTGGAGAACGAATTTTATGCTGGATGTTATGATCTTAACGTTTTCGTGACAAAGTACATCTGTGATATCCTCCACTATCAAATTGAAATGTTATAGCACATAAAATAAACTGTTTATTTATTGCTGTAACGTGGAATTTATTGCCTCGCCTATTTGGCACAAGTTGAGGGTGTTAGCTTATACGCATAATCTGAAACGCCTCAAATGGGCAAAATGTGTTTAGGCTCAAACTAAATTAGAAACATTTTTCGATAAAAGTAATCAATAGAGCGCAATTAATTCCACGTTTGTAATTTATTAAACAATTAATATAAAAAGCGGCTGACCTTTAAAAGCTTAATGACAAACTTTTAAGCCCTTTACTCTTGTAGGAGTTATTGATAGAGAAGAATTGACATTCGCAATTTATTAAAGAAACAGAGATGTCTAGGATTAAAAATATAAGGGTAACACATTTATTTAAGATACTCTTCCGAGGTAGCTGGGGGAAGTAGCACCTTTAACCGTTCGCATTTAAAAAAAAAATTAGCACAAAAGCAATTCGTTCGAAACATGTAATTTATTAACTAAAAATGATATAGAAATTGTTGATTAAAGATTTACAATCTTCGTTTGTAATATTAAGTTAGAACCGCCAATTTAAAATTCTTTCAAATGGATGGAGCAGTAAATGCCACACTGCTGAAATAAATTAACAATAAATGAGTGAGAACTTTGTTATGTGCCACTTGCTAAGTTAACGGAGATTATACCGTGTGTGAATATTTAAGAACTGGAAAAATTTGGAAACCGGTTTTCTCGGGAAGGGAATTCAAGCTTTCTTGAAAAATACGTTCAAACCTGCTTTCGATAAAATAGAAATTACAACTGCAATTCTTGGCACGGTAAGAAAATGTAAGATTTCAATATTTTGAACCCATATCAGAAAAAATAATATTCAATGAATTTTTTGAGAAGGGTTATACTAAATGCATAGGTAATATACAAGGTGGTGTTTTTAAGTGGACCATGTATCCCAGGAACGGTTTGGAATTTCGATTCGGGACTCATTACGTTTTTTGAATAATCGATCAAAAGGAATCATTTAAAAATATTTTCAAGATGGCCGCTTTTCCGGTTGTATCAGACCTATACCGGAACTTTCTTATTTCAAATGGCACTACCTTTTCTGATAGCATTTTTGAATTCCTCACAAAAACTCAGTATGATTTTCTTAATATGATGCTATGTCTAACTGACATGGTTTCGAAGTTATTTGACATTTTTGACATTTTTTCACAGTTTCAAGCTTCAGTAAATTAGCCATATCACTGTTGTCTGAGAACTTAGCGAAATGTTTTTTCGCGAATGGACAGCTAAACATCCACGCTATTAAATGTTATTGGTCTGATTTTCAAATGTGATTCGAAAATAATACAAATAATCGTTCAAAATTGACAATCGGTTTTTGATCAAAAACTCGACATTTTCAAACCGAAACCATATCTTTACTTTGCATTAATAGAATAGAAAAACGGAAAAAAGGTACTTGCAAAATTTGCTTTTAAAAAAACCTAAAAAATCTGCCCTCTTTAGACAAATTTTGCAAGTACAATTTTTTATCGGTACCATGAGTACTATGTACTCGTAATTTACCATTTAAAGCCCAATAGGCTACACCGGTCCGCATATGAACGATGCTAAAGGAAAGTAGCACTTAACCATCCTATCTTAATTTTCGTGTTAAAAAGGCAACAGTGGCTCGTCCAGACCTTACATTTTCCCTGAACACCCTCTTTTTAATCTCCGTGTTCAAGATAATCCCACTTGACTTTTTGATTCCACCAACACGTAAATCAAGTCCAGAAGTTCCACATTCTCTATGTGAGTACTCTTTGTGGCCACTCCGTTCTCGAGATATTCACATTTTGGAGTTTTGACATCACCACCATGTACTTCTCCTGCAGGCGCTCTGTTTTACCGTTGTGAATCGGCTGTTCCGGCAATTCGTTTTCGAGATATTCGCACTAGAAGTTTTGACAATAGCAACAGATGTGTCTTGCTGAGAACTTTCATTATAGGTAGATTTCTATCTGGTTATAATATATATCACATCCAAGAAACACTCTTAACTTTAGTAATTATGAACCAGGTTATGAACCGATTTCGTCCAAATTTTAGGGGTTGGTGTAACTCATAAATATCTCGGTCAAGTTTGTGAATCAGCCAATTCCGCCAAACGTATTTTATTTTGTGAGTGGCCTTTTCGATTCTCAGTGTCCGAGTATGACTGGTTATATATCTTGTAAGGGGGTTGAGGAGCAAGAGACGCAAAAAGATAGAAGACTTTTTTATTTCTTAATGAAATTAGCAAGTGCGAAGTTGTGTAATGTGCAAATGGTTCTGGTGCGAAATGCCTAGGTGCGAATTATTTAGGCCGCGAGCACCCGTAGAATAGTAGGTATAAAGATTTCGGCGGAAAAGCGCTTGTTTAGAATGAGATGCCTGAAAATTCATCAATACGAAACGCGCATATGTAATTGAACTGAAAACTTACCAAAAACCAACTAATTCCTAAAGCAAAGCTAGCTTCATTAGAGAAGAAGAGGAACTTGTATTGTTTAGTGATCAACGTTTAATCTTCAAAGAATATAAAATTCTTCTTTCGAATCAGATCCATTGGACGAGTTGTAACTGGGGTTACAATAAGTGGTTTGGCACCCCTAATCGCGATAGTTTTTTATTGTACTGCAAAATTTGAGTTAAGTGTTTCGTTTCCAACCTGAAAATTTGAAATTGATCTCTTTCACCTTCAGTCACCTTGATGGTCAATACAATCGTCGATTTCAACCTTTTGCTACAGCCTTCAGACAAACAAATCTTAGATTCATTGAAAAAATTCAGTTTCCAAAATTGTGTGACCACGTTCTCTATTATGCACATCAACAATCCCCTTAAATGACAAAATTTGAACAACAAACATAATATCAGTTCCCTTTTTACCCTACAATTGAAAATTTATAATTTACATATTTGACTTTGACTTAATTAGAAGAGTTTCTTTATTTAATATTGTACTGAAAAATGGAACACTGTACTAACCACTCCTAACCGAGCCCCTACCGGAATTTTATTTACAATGTGAAAATATTGCTTAATAATATCAAATTAAAATGCAGAATATGAGCCGTATTGAACTTTTTTCAAACTACCCGCATAAAAATTGATCTTCAGAGCAAGAAAAACGAATTTTCCCGGTCGATGGCTAATCGAAGAATCTCTCCTACTTTCTCTCCTCATCCCTATTGGCTTTTCCAATTCGTTCACGCCCAAAATAGAGCTTTACTAATCGACCATTTTTATCATGAATGGACCATTCAGATCCACGAATTACCTCCGCTACAGCAAATGATCATTTAACGTTTCCCTTGGGCTCGAAGTGAGATCATTCGGCTTTATTCTGGCTTAGCTTAGTTTTGAGCACGTAAACCTATTTAAACAGTCTTTTGCTCTAGCTTTTGCTCGTCACGCCCACAGACTGATGCCAATAACTTCTTAAACCCATTAACAGGTCACGTCTCACACAGAAACCAGTGACGCATAAAAATAAAGATCGCCAACTTGGTTTACGAATCTACGGACTTTTGATTGATCAACCCTTTTATGGAAACACCCCGTACACCTTCTAATACCAAATGTATAAAACAGCGTAACCCTAGCGAAATTCAATTTTAACCGTCTCTATTCGACTCTATTTCACAAGGCAACTTAATCCCAAAGGGCATTTATTATTCAACTGTAGCTTTCGGGTTTTCTCTCTGATCCTTTAAAATATAACAAAAATGCTTCTAAACATTGTTCCAAGTTAGAAGAATCTCGCTCCACCTCAAACACCTTTCAATTTATACACTTCCATGGAAAAAATTTGTTAATATAAAGATATAAAAACTCTAAAAACCAATTCTCCAATATTATGCAAGTAGCTAGCAAAAAAATTGGACAATTTCAAAAGAAAAATGCAAAATTTACAGATTGGTATTCCTTTAAGAATTTTTCTGATTCCTTTCAATAAAATTTAACGAGAACCGATAGTTATTTTGAATAAAATCAAGAAGAAATTCGTTACCTTAAGTATAGCGTTTTCTGAAATCGATGGTACTGCCCTTCGGAAAGGTGGAAGCCTTACAATATTGGACAATACAGAACAAACATGGATCTCCAAGAGGAATACTATTGAATTTTGTGCGTAATTCGTATGACTACCGCCTATTGCGCAATTAATCGGGCAATAAACTATGTTTCTATCATCTGCTTTGAATGCGCTTTAGATGCTACCGTAATACCTGTTATTATCAGCGCATTACAGGGCCGTCGCCCACATAAACTGAGCTAATTTGTATTTTGGAATTTTCGCTTCCGAATTGAAATTTTTAAATGACAGAACTGTTATTTTTTCACAGGAAATGTCCGCTCCTACTTTTAGTTAGTATTTCTACGTAATAATTTGCACGATTTAGAAAGACAGATTAGAATGTTTCTTCTGAGTACATTCGGTTAATTCACCCACTAACAAAACTTCTGAATTATCAATCTTACTTACTGTGCCAAATCTTCCTTGATTAATGATTATTTCTTATACTTTTTTTCTGATAGCATTATTTTACAATACGCCACGTACGAAATTTTAATTATATACGCGACACATCATCCTTACTGATAATTTGCGCGGATTTTTTTTTGAATTCGATTATTGACAGGTCTTCGATTTTTTGGACTGGCTGAGAGTTTGGCTCTATGTTTTTATCCACTCTTTGACTTGAGCTCTCACAAGGCTCCCGGAAAGAGAAACCTAGCTTTCCCGCTGACAGCCTCACGCTTAATGCTCGAAGAACATCTCTACCTCTTCAGTTTTACAAAAACCGCTTATAAAATGGCACAAATAGGTTAAAACCATCACCTTTAAGCGTTAAGCAATAGACTACCCCTACTTGATCCAATCACGCGCGCATATAGCGTAATCCACCAGATTCAAAATCGATGAGTGCCCGCTTCCCACGCTGCTCAATAATATAATAACAAACAAATCTGAATCGGCTGTTTTGGTCACGTAAAAGACATTCAGTTTGTGTTATCACTCGTCAGACTGTCTCCAGTAACTTTTTCTGTCGCGTTTAACTTGCCAGTGCCAGTAAACATGAACTTAACAAATATAGATCGCCTAATTCATTGGGAATCAATTGACTTGACTTTAAAGGAATTCAATAGCTGAAATTGAGTCAGTTCCGATTAATTTGGAGAAACGACTCTTAAACTCGTTCCAACCACCAAAACCTCATAAAAATGCGCCTACACTCCCATGTTTCCTAATTAGTAATTATTAATCTAAAAAATTAAAGAAAAAATCAGCTCCCATTACACTAGCTATAATAAAATAGTATATTAAGATACAAGTGTATAATCAAGTCTTTAAAGCACGCGCAACGAGTTTAAGGGCACGACGCAAAGCGGAGTGCCTTTAACGTTGCAACCACCAATTATACACTCATAAATTATATGCGAAATACTCTGACACTCCATGTCGTTTCCTCAATAAAAAATCATCGTCTTTGTGAATTAAACGATTTCCGTTGAAAAAGATAATACACCGTCCATTAAAATTGTTGTAAAATCTAAACAAATTGGTAGGTGTAAAATCCAACTCCAGTAAAGCCTATTATAAAGAATATGAAAAGTTGTTTCCATGGATGAATAGGAAGTTACTTACGAATACAGTCTTAAATGCATCCATAATGCTGGCATATATGAAGAAATGTCAAAGGTATTTAAATCTTTATATTTTGGTGCATTCATTCAAAACTTTAAAGCAATGCTGCGATTAAAAAGTGGAACAGATTTGGAAGCATACCCTAAATTATTTGTGAAAGCTTCAACCAAAGGATAGGTACAAAAGCCAAAGAAATGTTCTGCATTTAAGAAAGCGACCTAAGAGGATTTTTTAATCCAGATGACAGTTTCAAAAGTCATACTTGAAGTATCGTTACTTAGCAACTTTAAAGCACGTGTGTTTTAAAGGCCTTTTTTCGCACGCATTTGAGTGTTTAAAACGGAGATTGTGATTCAGGTATAATAAAATAGTATATTGAAAGACACGTGTTACAATGCGACCTATTGTAATACGACTATCTTGTGGCACGAGTGGCGACGCGAAGCGTAGCCACGAGTGTCCGCAAGATAGAAGTATTACAATAAAGCATTGTAACACGCGTTTTCATACTATTTTTTCTATTTCGGTGCTTTAATTTAATTAAAAAAATCATTATCAGAAACTATAGGGAACATTAGAACTAACATGTTTTATGTTGGGAACACTTTATGCCGTTAAGTTTTAGGTTGGCAGCGTAGTAAGACTGACATTTTGAAGTTCAAACATGGAAGTACCCAACGAAGTACCTACTTGTACTAACTAGTGACTGTCAACTTAAGAGATGAGTTACCAAAAAAAACGACTATAATCACTGTCTTTGTACAACTGTTTTCGGCCGAAAACAGTTGTACAAAATCATCATTGTGACACCGAAATAGAAAAAGACTATTATTGTACTATTAAACTTTTTCATTTGTTACAGACAAAACCTGTAGCATTCGCTGTTCGCACCAATGTTGCCTATGACGGGTCATTAGATGACGACTCACCGGTACACGGATACGCAATTTCTTTCGACATTAGGGATTTTTTGCACATAAAGGTACGATTGCAAAAGACCGATGCTTGTACTTGATCTATTAAACGATTTTAGGAAAAATACGATAACAACTGGTGGATAGGGAGACTGGTCAAGGAGGGATGCGATGTCGGATTTATTCCCTCTCCCGTTAAATTGGAGAACTTAAGGATACAAGCATCACAAACACGAAGTACTAAACTCTACTCCAGTAAGACTAGTTCCAGCTCCAATATAGGTGCCACTGGTAACGATGTTTCCAGAGGTAGCACCCCTCCTACGCCTGGTATGTCCTGTCCACCTCAGTTTCTGTATTCGATGTTTTAATTTTGGTATCGTGAATGATTTTGTAACGTGAAATTACGTTTGTTTATATCACAACCTACAATTTTACACGCCACACATTACACACCGCAGTGAACCATACTAATTATACCTACACTTATCGTGAGTAAATCTGACAACACCGAACAAATATATACCACCTGCAATATGTAGATATTATCAAAAATGGATGTTGGAATATTAAAATTATGTTAACCGCTTTAATTTTTGTTATAATAACTGTATTAATTGTTTTAAATCTACTCCACTAACTTATGTGGGCAATTTTTGTCTTATATCTTCCTCTTTTCTTATTGGTACGTATGTTTTTGGTTCTGTTTATTTGTTTTAAAGCTCCCCACTCCATTAACGTGATCCAGTTTTCCCATCCCACCCCTACACTAATTGTAGTCATAGAAATGCAATTGGAACGTTTGCCTAAATTGTTGACGAATAGTTAACCGTTCCTGCGGCATTATTAGATCCTGTAGCTTGAAGGTATAGAATAGACCAGCTTATTTGAATGGGCATGAGATATTTTACGTAGAGAGTGTAGGCTTTATTTATCAGTTAATAATATCCCTTATTATTACTAGGGGATGAGTCTGATTCGATTGGAAACGCAAGAACAGGCAAATCGCTTACGACACCTCCAGCCAAAGATAAAAAGAAGCCGTTCTTCAAAAAGCAAGAAGCAACTGCTCCTTATGATGTAGTACCCTCTATGAGGCCTGTTGTATTAGTTGGTCCTTCGTTGAAAGGATACGAAGTAACGGATATGATGCAAAAAGCGTTATTTGATTTTTTAAAGCATCGATTTGAAGGAAAGTAAGTACTGATGTGGTAGGATGTGTCGTCATGTGGCGTTACCTGTAATAAAATTACCCTGTTTGTAAAATGTTGTCCTTTTTCTGAAAAGCAAAAGTGTATTCCGTAATATCCAGTGGGTTTAAAAATCCAGAATTGGAGTTCCAAGGGTAAATGTTTCTTATTTATGAAATTATTAACGGGATACTACCCACTTGGATTGGAGTTGCAGCAATGGTGTACACCCTTAAGGGTTTATCAACCGGTTTTCATATCACACCATACTTCAGATTATCTTACCGTTTTACATTTGCCGCTCTGTATAGATTGTGTAGGTTGTAAAAATGCTCCATAGAAGAAACATTGCTAACACATAACTACAAAAACGCTTCTGCTGGGAAGAAAGTCGAGTTTGAGTTTCGGCGGCTTCGCTTCTGATTTTGCTCTAATACTTTCGCGACATTCCTGGATTGACGTCAGAAGAGAGTACCGACAAAGGGAATGAGTAGATCTCCACAGAATGTTTGGTACCCATTCTCTTTTCAGAATAAACCTAGACCCTTGGGGGGAGAATTGGACAATCTGAAAACATTCAAATGCGTAGGTATACATTCTCATGGTGTCGTCCCATAGGTTTGCTGATCAGTCTGTGAAACCCAGCATCAACTATAACACTTTATGTGCGGAATCCGCTTAAATCCTTTTTCTAATCTTCTAGGGCTTTTAATAATGTGCTAGCGTCTATCCAGAACTAGTTACCCTTCTAGATAAGTAGTTAGTCTTAAGTTGCAACCTCCTTGGCAATATTTAATATTTATTTAGTGGGTTTTTTTATGGATGCATGGCGGCAGTGGGCTCACCTTCGATAGTGGAAATCGTTGTGAGAAGTCGCGCAGTATGTCGAGTAGATGCTTTCGCCCATTCTGTGGCGATATTGGGAGTAGGCATTCGTATGCGTATGACTTAGGTGGGGTCTATCGCTAGCCACAAAATTCAGCAGAGATGTTTCAGACTACCCATCTATGATGGGCCTCAGACTACCAAGCTCTGAAGGGTGTCAGACTATCAAGCTGTAGGCTTCCGGCGGACTCTACCGGTTGGTCGACCCGCTTTGACCAGAGCGCGTCGGAACTGCGTGGTCGGGTGTGGTTTAGATGCTAGGGAAAAGTGCGCCTGAACTCCCCCTTGCTGGCTGGTTTTTATCGGATCATTGTCGTCTCCCGTCGTATAGCGCTACCGTTTGTGTTTTTTTCGGAACCGGTCTCTCTATTTCCGTTTCGGTATAGGTATGCGATTTTTTTCTGAAATTGTCATTTGGTTTCCTTTCTTTGCATGTAAGCACTTTGGCCGTTCGACCGTACGCCATTGACAGTATGACAGTTGAGGCAAATTACGAAGGTCCTTAGGTACTGTTTTCTGCGAGATGCTACAGAATCCCGTTTGTCGTAGCTGTATTCGCTAGAGCTACGCTACAGTAACGAAAATATGAAATATTTTAGATAACAGAGTGTCGGAACAGGTTCTCACAAAAGGAAAGGGGAGGGCCTGGACCAGAGGCATCCGTTTCTCCTTATTTTTACTATTGATATTTTGAACTTCAATTTACGGATAAGATTTCGTGGAAAAATTCCTCTATTGGAAATCGTATGCGATTGCTAATATCTTGTTCCACACGGGAGCGGGGAGTGTTATTGTTTGTTCATGAGTTCAACACGCTTTCTACACTTATTAGACATCTTTCTAACTTTGCTTCATTTGTGTGTCTAGCTATCTTTGGTCGGGAATTGAACATGAACCCTTATTTACTGTCTGTGTCTGTATCGTCAATTCTGTTAAATTTCCTCCCAGGGCAAAACGTTTTGTTCGAACTAGAATGGAAAAAGGCACATTTTTGATTGCAAAATGAATCCACTTCTTTTGATAAACAAACAACTGTAAACAGTGCATGTGCATCGATCCTGTGTCTGTTAAGTTTATTTCCCAGGAAGGACTGTACTATGTTGCAGAATTTTTAGTTCCAACTTGACCTGAGCAAGGCACGCGTACGTTCGAGCGCAAAATTAACTCTCCAACGACTCCAACTTGCTATTTTGCTAGGATATAGGCTGTGAATACTTCAAGCCTTATACTAAATGAGCTAGAACTGCAGTATAGGATTTGTTTCAACTGGAATTGGAGGAACCTTTTCGATTGTACAATAAACTCGCCATTTATTTATTGATAAAGAATGCATCAAACTACATTCGATGATAGAAGCAGAAATTGATAAGATTGGATCAACGTTTTTGGATACCTTTCAGCAGAAAAAATAGCACCATTTTCGTAGTGAATTGCTTTTCAGGAAAAGTAATACGTTTTAGATACAGATTTACAAGTACAGTTAACTCTATAATTGAAACCGCATAATACTCTATATCTAGAGTTACATTTACACATTTTTTTAGAATAATTATAACGAGAGTTATGGCTGATATATCATTAGCAAAACGTTCACTTTTAAACAATCCATCAAAAAGAGCAATAATGGAAAGATCCAATACTCGCTCTACATGTTTGGCAGAGGTTCAAGCGGAAATCGAGAGAATATTCGAACTCGCCAGAACCTTACAGCTCGTAGTCTTAGATTGTGACACAATCAACCATCCTTCGCAACTTGCCAAAACGTCTCTAGCGCCAATTGTAGTTTATCTTAAAATAACTAGTCCGAAAGTAGGTTTCTCACTTTTTCTTTGTGTACAAGTATCAGCACACGATTTATAGGTCTTGCAAAGATTAATAAAGTCGAGAGGAAAAAGTCAAGTTCGGCATATTAATGTTCAAATGGTCGCCGCCGATAAATTGGCACAGTGTCCGCCGGAAATGTTCGACGTAATTTTGGACGAGAACCAATTGGAGGATGCTTGCGAACACATAGCTGAATATTTAGAGGTGCGTTTTAACGTTAGCAATATATCTTTTATTCGCGGTCTGCTATCGATCAGGCTTACTGGAGAGCAACGCATCCCGAGGTAGTTCCAAATGTTACGAGACAAATTGGGAGTTCGCCCCAGGCTTCACCAAGCGGAGAACCCATACACGCTACGTTACCTGGTATGTATATCTGTATGTCTTAGGACTAGCTAACCAACTAATGCTCGTCGCGTCGGTTAAATTGCTACTAACCACCACTAACTTGTTGCAGCCCATCATGATGTTTACGGATATTCACATGACTCTAGAGGTACTTACGCAGGTGTTAGATATATAGGCCTGCAAAGCTGGGATTCAGTAGATTCCTTAGAGTCGCTATCTTTCTTATAAGCACTGCATGACCGTTATGAAATATGCAACGTTTATTGTCATTCTAACGTTTATGGATTATTTCTTTGCATTTTGAAGCCAAAGTACTTTTTAAGCTAAATTTTGATAGGTACTTGCAAATTCGCCCTTCAATCTCTGTAGTAGCATCTTGACTTTTTAAGAGATGGTCATAAAGTATGTAAATTCTGGGTCCAATTTAATATTACCAAATAAATAAAATTTATTAGCAATAATAATCGTTTTCATTATAATCGTTCACAATAATTTTTCAGATTTTACTGGCTCAATGACACCAATTCCGCCTGCATATTAGTGTACGACCATTATATATTATATGATATAAGCAGGTTTAGTTTGCACGAATTTAATACGAATTTTTTCTTTTTCATTTTTAATGGCTTCGCTACGCACGATCGTTGCGCTTTCATGCTAATGCACACGTATTGCATAAAAATTTAAGATGGGGTATCTCCAACTCCTGGTAGAATTTGGCGCGCTGGCTCTACTGACTTATTTGCTTGACGCTGATTTCTTTCTCTGTGTTTTAGTAAGTAATTCATTTCTCTCTTCATCTAACAGTTTTGGCGAATTTGTGTGAATAGTTCCTTTTTCATACATAGTTAGGGCTGTGTATAACGAGAATTTTTGATTATCATTCATTAGTTGTGTAAAGTCGACCGTTCATAACATATGCACTAGTTTGCACTATTTCCAATAATTGTGATCTTTTCGCTTTTACTATTAAAATAAATCGTTCAAATGAACGCATTCGCACTTTAGCACCTATCATGAGTTTCTTAGAGAGTTGGACCGAGTCTTGGTGTTCGAAGTACTGCAAATTTAGTGCATTTGATGGTACCTACCTACGTTCGAAACGACGGGATTATCACAGCCCTAATTCTGTTCCAAGTACGATCGTATCAATAATTCTTATTATACATGACAGGTGGATCAGTGTTTCATACTGCACACAGTCGTGGTCGTTCACGTTTAGAGCGTGATCGTGAATATGAAGATTATTTAGAAAGAGACCCGCAGAGTCATACTTCATCGGTGCCTTCTCATTTAGCAGGGGGTCAAGATTATCGTGAGCATAATTTAGATAGAAATTTACCTCCTCGTGATCATCGAGGTGTTAGAGAAGACGATTTTCCTCCTCATAGAACATCATCAAGAAGAGCCGTTAATGTTATCTAGTGGAGGCTTTCTACGGAACAGCCCATTGAAGAAGAGATTCATGATGACCTCAGTCCTAGAGAAGACGTTTGCTATAAACCTCAGATACCTGAAAATTTTAGAGATGATAGGTTCTTGGACGATCGTCGGCGAGAGCGGGAGCCTAGAATGGCGGAGAGCAGAAGCCGGTTAGACGAGCAGCTGGACGAAAGACGATTGGATGATCGAAGAAGAGACGAACGTCGGTATTTTAGAGAACATAGGTTAGAGAGTCAAACGTATCGTAACGAAGGCAGAAATTACCGCCAAGAATTACTTGACAGGTTTTCAGATATGGACTTTGAGGACCATCATGATTATCGTGATCGTCAAAGGTATTTTGAATAGTTTTATATTTACCAATATGGAAGTGAGTACAAATGTAACTTACTTATGCTTAAGCAATTATACCTGCGCCTTTGATGATTTCCTGCAATGAGGTGTTCCGTATTTGTGAGGAAAATATAAACACTTATGAACTTCTTAAATTTTGACCAGTTTGGTGCCACATTTGAGTATTTATGCTCAATTTTTAATCACTAAATAAACTAAGTTTGTATAGTTATCCAAGCTTTAACGTAGTACTTATAGAATTTTTAACTCATTTGTAAGGAATGATATTGTTGAAAGCTGTATAAATTTACGTATTTTGTATATTGTATGATAGCCTTCTAAAAGAACTGAAATTACACTTCGCAAATACAGTGTTTGATTTAATCACAAATGGTTGTAAGCTGAACTTAAGTGTAGGATCCTGATTTCGAATTAATTTCGTTTAAAAGATCTAGGGCAATGCGTTGTTATTATAAATATTCTTATACTATTAATATGAGGATTGCTTCAGCTTACATACTATTTATAACTATTAATTTTTGTAGTTTTAAACTACCTACGTGATACTGTTGCATATTCAAATTTATTGTCATGCAATGACTGAACTTAGATAAATTATAAACTATTACAAGTTTGCACCGCTCCGCTAGGTATGTTTTATGTAAAAAAAATGTATAAATTTACCTGCATGAAAAAGAGTAAAAGCTTACCCTACATCAATATTTTATCAAAATCCATTGTTAGACAACTCACAATTTTTATTAGCTACTAATACTCAAATTACACAATTAATATATGGAGGACAATCAATTATTGAGTCATAGCTAATAGTTTTGTGTTTAATCAAGTGCAACTATTCTAACTTAACACATGAGAACTTTCGGTTTCATTTAGCTGAACATTTTGATTTCTCCTAAATCCAGGTCTTATTTTTGCTTGTTTCATTCCGCTCCTGAATCTAGAAAATGCTGCGTACGCATCCTGTATATTAGTTAATTGCATAAGAAGGATCTTTGATAATGTGTTCATTAGTATTTTATCTAACTTAAAGTTACAGGAGTAGATAATAAAAATTGTGTACCATAGATATTGAATACAAATTTTAAAACAATAATAACGATATACTTAACGCATGTACCACTACAGGTAACAATGCTGACCAATTCGCTAACTTTTTTTCTGTAATGTCTGGCAGTAATCGCTGTACACAACATTGATTTTCTGTAAGTAAAGTTGTATTAAAACGTTAAAACAGATATGTACGTAGTTTCTTAATTAGGAAGGTTCAAAGATCAGTGCCATTAAATTGACCAAGTACCTAAAATGAATAAATTTCATCAGCACATAATATATACAACTTTGCTATTTTCTTTGTATGTTCGTTAATTAGATAGAGTTTCACGTCCATAATATCAGAATTAGTTTTCGGCGTACTATAAATAGTACCTGTTCCGTGGAAATGTTAGATGTTCTCATGTTAACATGATTTTATTAGATAGCTACTTTGTTTAATGTAGAATACGAGAAGTAACTTCAGGTGCCTCAAAACTCTATTAATGTTCTGATATTAATTGTTGTTTATTAAGGTCGCGGTACTATTTATAGAGCGCCTTCATAATGTACTGTTTTGTAATATCGAAATAGATATTTCCTACGATTGTAAATATCTAATGAAGTTCAAAACTTTGTATCATCTTGCTGTTATAAGTTTCGAAATGATTAGAGTTAATTTCCTCTTTTTTACTAAATACCTTCTTCGGTTATTATTTATAAGAAAGTGCTAAATAAATAAAATATTGACTTATTCTTGGGGAGCAGGCATGTGTAATGAAACTGTCTTAGGGATTGCAATGGTTATGAATACTTCTTCGCGCCTCCGAAGCCGAGGGCGGATCTTATGCATTTATAAACGAGTTGCGATGGCGTGGTGCAACGCTCGCACTCGCTATTACCATACATACCCTTATATCAAATACAGTGCTACTACGGTAACACGTTGAGGCGATTATTTACTGATTGATGTGCACACTTTTCCATAATTTGCAAAATTTCCTTGTCGTTAAAAGATCGATTGGCACGAGTTCAACCGTCTTTATCTCGACACGGACTGCAGTTAATAATCTCATCTCTTATCAAAAGTGTAAGCGCACAAATTCTAGAGAAAATTAGCGCGTGTTATAAGAAATAAAATGTCCGATTTACCGTTTACTCATCTAACTACGGAAATTTTTTGCAACCCCGCATGTGTTGCAATTATCATCCACAAGTAGCCAGTTATAATTTCCCTCCACGCATGCGCAATAGACAAGTTCTTTATTTGTGGAGCAATTTGTTGCAAATTTTTGTTGTAGGTTCTTCTAATAAAATCAAACAAAATGGACACTTATCTAAAGAGGCTTTGGCACCTGACTCACGTACATACTATAGTTTGAAGATCCTTCTGAACCAGATACCTTTTTTTCTTTTTGTCTAATTTTTCCTTCTTTTTGAATTTTTATCTGTAAAGATTTTTGTAAATCCAGTAGCCTGTGTCCTGTTTAAATAGCAGAAGAATGAGTTGTTGGTCCTCTTCATCTGAAAGTTTGTCCACTTGCTCGTATTTGTTGTACCTAAGATAGATATTACTCAATGCGTCAATAATTTTATTCACCTCTCCAGAGAATTTAAGCCAAGCTTAAAAACGAGCGAACTAAAAGTATACTTCTGTTCTTTTGTGTTTCTTCTCCAACATGGGCACGGCAAATAAATTGTATCGTAATTCAAAGAACTGAAATGGGTATTCATTGATATTTCTCTATACGTACTTACTCCAATACCATTTTTCTTTTTATAAAGTACAATAATACAAACAAAATTGTGACCATTATACCAATAACTTACACAATACCGAAAAGGAATCGTCGTCACGTCAGGCCCCGGGTTATATCTGGGCTATAGCCCAGGGCGCTACTTTAGGGGGGAGGGGGGCGCAAAATCTGCTAAATTATATTTTTGTCATTATTTGCAATTTAGATCTGGGCTTGTGGATAATTTTTCTTAAAATAAATGTACTTATCATTTTATAGTAAAAAATTATTGTTGATTTCTGCCAGTGGGACATTCCTCTTCTCTGTGATTATAGGTGCATTTTGTTCCAAAATCGATACAGATAAATAACCCTATGAAGCTCGGTCACTATAAGCACAGAGTGTTTAAATCTGTGTATACAATTTAACTATTATAAACATTATAGTTACGGGGACGCTGAACCAATTAATGTAACCCGGGGCCTGATCGTCGTTTTGAGATTTTTTATTGAGCCTAAAGTTGTGGACTTGAGATCTCTTACCAATATTACCATATAATATAGTAGCACACAACACATGCAACTATTTGGATTGTTCAAAATCACTCCGTCCGCCACTCACACACCAGCAAACACAGTAGAAGAGCTGACACCTAGGTGTCGCCAGGCTGGTGACTCGGGCTGGATCTTGGTTTAGAATCATATTTTTGGAGGTGTTATTCATTTTAAGTGGCAATCACCCCTGTAACGAAGCACCCGGAATTTCTGCATTTAGTTTGCCGTTTACAAGGACCACCCTGTATAGTAACGATTGGTTTGGGCTTCGTTACGCAAGAATACCGTGATATGGAGCATTTTCCGCAATGCCATGGAGATACCGTAATTAATTAGTCCGCCTACGACCGCTCCTGTTGGAATTTTGGAATTATTTTTGTAACCACCGAAGGATGTTGTCCTGGCGTAGATGAGGGACAATTAATATTCTTTGGTTTCAGCGCCGTTAATTATTTATAAGATGTTTTAGATTCCCATAATAAGTAAAATCAAGGATAGAACGAGTTCAAATCTAGTTGTTTACAAGTTTTGCAGTCCCGTCCGTATGCCTGCATGTTGCGATAAAAGTGTTAAAGCGATAGCGCCGTTTGAGAAGAAAAAGTCCAAGGGAGCTAGTTGCAGATTGGATTGATGAGTAGGTACTTAGGTTTGATTACGCTTAATTAGGTAAGCGCTGTTAATTAATGCCATGTTAATGGGCAGTAGTAAACCTTGTCAGAAACCGTCGAGAGAGGTGTCCACAGAGGCGCTGTAATTTTTCTAGTTGTTTGCAAGTTGTCCCAGATTTTTAAGATAACCACAGGAGCAGCAATTAATTAAAAACCGAATTATTTTCTATACCGCTCGGTGCGAATGCAGCGAGGCTTTGGGAATTCCATGTTCCACTTCTACCAAAATGGGTTTCCTTTAAAAGGAAAACGCTCAATTTGGGAGGGATCTTTCTGCTTCATACTTTCGAGTTGTAAGTACGCCTTTTGATTTTTCTAATTTGCGAAACCGTATCATTCCGAATCCACCGAAACCCTTTTGTTTTACCGTTTTCCCTTTTGAGCGACCGTAAGTCAAGCCGTTGTCCTTTCCTTTTCACTATCGTTTTGAGTTTCCCTTTTTCATTACCGTAACTTTTGCCACCGTTCCGCTAATCTTCATTATATTCTGTTCTCCTTGCTTTTCCGCTTTCCCCTAGACACCGCCAATTGATTGCCCAAGTAACACAACGTGCTGTATAATGGCCATCAGTACGTATTTGCAGCTATACTCGCAGCCAAATAGTTTGGCGCAGTTTCTGCGAAAGAAATGTAGCAGCGATGTGAAGACGTACCTACTGCCAAAATGGCGAGTCATAATCAAGCTGCTAAGACGTCACCTCAGCCATTTGGATTGGCAGTGGTGGTTAGAATGTCAAGCAGCAAAAGCGCATCGTTAACGTTAACGTCAGTTAAAATTATGCGCTGTCATAACGTCACGACAGCCAACCTTAGACCATATAGTACATGGACTGCTATTATCCCTATGCTTTCAATACAAAATGGGTGGTCACGGATAGAGGGCACTGTAGTCGTGGGTATGCATAGATATATTTATATATCTATGTGGGTATGTGAATCTCAGGGTAAACTAAAGTCGTGTAAACACCACTCTGATCGCGTAAAGAGTAGCTTTTATGGGAACCGCGTAGTACGGGAAGCTTTAAATACTCTTGATTATCTTAAATACGTCCACAAATAGGGATAGGTTTGCTTTTTTGGCATATCTAGGCGAATAATTAATTGACGTTTGTTAATTTATAGGTTGACAGTCTCAAATCGTGTCTAATCGCACAACTTCGGACAGACTCGTTTACCCTCAAACTCACATACCCAGGCGATGTCCTTGACCATATTTTAGTTACAATTAGCAGTCCATGTACTATATGGTCTAAGCAGCCAACACTGTGACCAAACTGCAGCCAAAATCTGTTTTTATCAAAAAGGAAAAAAAATAAAATTAATTCATTATTGGTGTTTCTGCGGATCCTATTTGTTCCTACCATACACATTTTTTTTATTAGCGCGTTTCATACCGTTGGCAACCGCCATCGTTTTCACCTACACATACTTTTTTTAGTAGCGATTCTCTGGAGGTGGTCGGATTCGAACTCCTGCCTTTACCGTCTATAGAAACATACCAAATTGCGTGCATCGAAATATCCATCTGCGCTAACCTGTAACATGACGAATAGTTCTGAACTCGCGAGTGTTAAGCGAAGCGTTGTTTTTGTTTATTAATAGTAGTGTTTTTAATCATAATTTAAGTGTTTGAGCCAAATTACGTTCAAATCAATGCGCGGAAAACTCATACGATGAGATTCATGATTGTATTCTCCAATGACCGTACATCTTGTGCATCTGTTATATGCATTGAAATTCACAACACCTGCAATTAAAATTTAAATTCTGCTATTTCCTATACCTTAGTATCCTTACCTTTTGCAAATGAACGAGCTGGAGTGTCGCAAATGAAGCATCTCACCTTTAAACTGCATTTTATTCCATTAATGAAAATCCCATTCTTTAAAAGAGGTTTTATTTCTTCTACAAATGGTGTTAAAAAACCCTGAACACTGGGTGGTTTGGTGGTACCACAATAAATGCCCACTACGAATGGATGCAAGTTTCGCATATTGTTTATTAAACACAAAATGGGCCAAAATTCCATTTTTGTACTGTTGTATATTGGTAACCCATCAATATTGAAACTTAATTCTAAATTAGTTACACTATCAATCTTAGGTAGTAAGTTAACAATTCCCTTTTCGAGTCCATTATGCCAATAATGGCCATTGCCCATTTTCGCAATTGTTGTTTCTCTGGGGGTTTGTAAAAGTGTTCTTGATGATTTTGGTAGGTTAGGTAATTTAAGTACATGTAAAATCGT